GGGGGGGGGAGGGGTACCCTCCAGCTAAAGTGGCGTCCGGGGGGGGGGCCTCCGCCGTAAACTGTATATTGAAATATGTTCTTTTTAACCATTTGATACCTAGAAAACTTTTAAATTTACCTTCGCATAGCGGTAGCGGAATCAACATTGGTTTCTGCGAAGTTATGTCCTCCTCTCTCCCCCAAGAGCGGCTTCGAGTCTCGTTTCGTTTGCTATACATATCCTACTGGCTACAAAAACAACAACTAGCCAAAATGCAAAATATTATTGGAAGTTATATTATAAATTAGGAAGTTTTATTAATTTGAAATGTGTTTGGTTTTAAAAACGGGACATTTCGAAACATGGAGAAACTTTATCGGGATACCGGGTACGATCGTGAAAAAGCGGGACAATCCCGTTTCTACGGTACGTTTGGTCACCCTAATGTAAGGGGTTCCGTTGAGGTGAGCGTATATTTCAAAGAGAATTTATTTTAATTTTAAAGGTTCATTAAAAACAATAATTTTTTTTTAGTGTTTCAAAATTAAATTTCTTACAACAATTGTTTTTTTTTTTAAAAATCCCATTCCCTGTCACGGTGCCCATTCCCTATCACAGTGCCCATTCCCTAACATATTTTGGTACTAATCCTAGTCATTTTAATTATCCCATTCCCTGTCATTAGGGTTCCTTTTTCTTGACACATTATGGTTCCTTTCCCTTGACACATTATGGTGCACATTCCCTGTCCTATTATGGTGTCAATATATTGTGCCCCACTCATTATTATTATGGTGCCACAATCCCATGAAATACCGAATCAGCTTAGTTATTAAACAGGTCAAACTCAATTTATAACTACAATCAGTTATGTGTATGTCTTTATTGCCTTCATGTCTGCAGAATCAGTGGAAACTATATCTAAAGTGGAATGCGGAATTAAAACTAAAAGCAATCCAGCTAAAACAATAGTTATTACTGTATAGTATAAAATGGGTCTGAGAGTAGAGAAACAAAATGTTTTAAAAATAATCAACAATTAAACTTGAAGAAATCACAGAGTGTTTAGTTCAAATAAAAACGTAATTTTACAGTAACAATTGGTTGGACAATAAAGAACTTAAATTTACAGTAACAAGGAATATTTGCTTGGGCAGTAAAACGTGATTTTACAGTAACACGTAATATTTGCTTGGGCAGTAAAACGTAATTTTACAGTAACACGTAACATTTGGTTGTCTAATAAAAAATAATTTTAGAGTAAAAAAAAAGTCACATTTGATTGTCTAATGAAACTTTAAAAAAAATTTTACAGTAAAAAAATGACATTGTTTAAAAATTTAATTGTACAGTGCCAGTAGTGCGTAGCATTTATTTGGACAAGAAAAATTAAATTTTACGGTAACAATAACAAATGGCATCATGGGATAAAAATCTTTTTTTTTTACATTTTTTTCTCCAGATAATTTTTTTAATGAAAATTAATAAAATTTGAGTAAACTTGTACATTTTAAGAGGACTACATTTTGATTTGATGAGTTGAATCAAAATTAATAAAACATCAAAAACTTTTTTCTTTCTTTAAATTAAAGATGGCATTTTTTTTTTTTTTTTAATTTAATGGTAATGGTACTTCAGGGGTCGGCAGACTGCCGGCAGATAACTTTTGGTACCGTAGGGCCTGCAAAAAAAAAAAAAAAAAAAAATTATTGATTTGCATTTTTTTTTAACATTCTGGACAACTTCAAAGTCGGAGCTACACTGGAACTATGAACTAAGATATTTGTACGTTGGAACTATGATCTTGGAACGATGATCTTTGAAAGTTGGAACTATGATCTTCGAATGTTGGAACTATGGTATTTGAGCGTCGAAACTATGATCTTTGAACGTTAGAAATTTGATATTTAAACGTTGGAACTATGGTGTTCTTTCTACAATGGAACTTTGAACGTTGAAACTATGATCTTTGAAACTCTGATCTTTGAAACTCTGATCTTTGGAGGTTAAACCTGTGATCTTCGTACGTCGGAACTATGATCTTGGAGCGTTGTAACAATAATCTTTGAACGTTGGAACTATGATCTTTGAACATCGAAACCTTGATCTTTGGACGTTAGAACTATAAACTTTGAACGTTGGAACTATGATCTTTAAACGTCGGAACTATGATCTTTGAACTTTAGAAACTATTTTGTTCTTTCTACAGTGGCACTGTGATCCTTGAACGTGTTCTTTTCCTGATTTAACCGTACAATGACGTAGCAAGGGGGGGAGGCGGTCCGCTTCGGGCGCCCTATTTTAATTATGTTGAGGGCCATTATTTTTTTACAAGGCGCAGTTGTTTTTTCCCCCTCGTGGATTGGGGGGAGGGGGGAGGGGCGAGGCGAGGCTAAGATCTTGGCCGGTCCTAGTTCAGCATGCTTATTGTTGTGACTTCACTGACCGCAATTTAATATGCTCAGAGAAAAAGTTTTTGTTTTTTTTAAATTCCAAATGCCATCAAAGAGTGGTTTAAAAACCTTAACACAGGTGTACTTAACACAGGTGTACTTAACACAGGTGTACTTAACACAGGGTGCCCGCATCCCCTGGGGGAACGGGAAGCAGTGCCAGGGGGGGGGGGTGCGTGAAGTTTTGAACAAAAACTCAACAAAAAATATTTTTGTTGAATTTAGTAGCCAAAACAAAAAAAAAAACCAAAAGAAAATTAAAAAATGAGAGCTGTTCATATTTTAGTGATGAGATTATAAACGCGCCACATTTGCCTGTATAAACACCTGTCAAACCTGCTTGATTTGTAATATATTAAAACTTTAAAAACACGTTAAAGTACTGACAACTAATACATTGTTCAATTATTGAGTTTAACCCCCCCCCCCTCGTTATCTACAATTTAAATATATATATTTTTTAAAATTAAATTTATTAAAAGTTTAATTTGGGGGAAAAACCTCTATATTTGTTTGCATTTAACTAACCTGGAGAATATTTTACAGGTGGTTGGGGGGGGGGTGGGGGCGGGGGAATGTCGAAAGTGGGTAAGGCGCTGCCAAAAGTTCAAGAAACCCTGCTCTAACACAAACACATTGGTATTGAGCTCAAAGATTCATTTCCTAACATGGCATCCTACATTGTGGCGGAAGATTCAAAGGTAACATATGCCCGGTACATCAGTGGGAATGAAAGATTCAGATAGGTACACGTTCTTGTGCGATGGCCAGTGTCGTGGTGCCACCTCCCACCCCACCCCCACCCACCACACTTGCCTTCATGTAAACACTGACATCAAGTTCAATAATGATTCCCCCCCCCCCACTCCCGTCACCACCACCACGGGCGATGTTGACAGGTCTGTTGTCTCCCCCCCCCCCTAACTAGATATTTTATTAATGAGTCATGTGACGTGCAAACAACTTGACACTTGACACCCGAGTGGTTCTAAAATTTAGCTGAAATCGTTACAACTCCACAGTGTAGAGTCAGTGATAAACCAGGGTTATTATTTTTTTTTCTGTTAGCTAACTTTAGGCCTACTGTAAAAAATAAACCTTTAAACATGTGCTGTAACACCAGCGTTTGCCCCTTTCATAAATGCTAAGGTCCTGAAAACAACATTGGACCCCAACCATATTTTTTTTAAAAATATATATTATTGTGAAAAGGGTTGAAAGGAATAACTTAAAGTTGAACTATCAATGGAAGCTCACACAAACTATGTGGACGCGACACTGATCAAATTAAGAAACTAGTAAAATAAGCATCTGAGAAAGTCTAATCTATAGATCCTAACAGAATCCGGTACATGAGACTGTGGTGAGATCAAGTCACCAAGAGATTGGTCTGAGATAAAGTCACCAAGAGATTGGCCTGAGATCAAGTCACCAAGACATTGGCCTGAGATCAAGTAACCAAGAGATTGGTCTGAGATCAAGTCACCAAGAGATTGGTCTGAGATCAAGTCACCAAGAGATTGGTCTGAGATCAAGTCACCAAGAGATTGGTCTGAGATCAAGTCAC